TGTATCATAAATGTACCCTCTCTATCCCGAAGTCGACAGTATAACCAAGTTAAGTCCTCTTTATTCAATAATAAATGGATTGTGAAAGTTAAGGTACACTAAGGGTAAATCTATGTCATGTGATATGCAAGAACATTTTTTGAAAGAGAGAGAGAGAGCTTAAATTTGGGGGGGAAAATAGGCCTTTTTGAAATTAAAATGTGTGAACATGAGTTATGATTGAGTGAAAGGTCATACCAAAATAGTGAGGGCATTCATGACACACACTTGAGAGTATTTATGTTGGTGTATTCAAATATGATTACATAGGCCCGATAAGATTGGGTACGAGACCCTCATTGAAGTTATGTTGTGTCAATTGGTATACTAATTTGGTGAAATAATACATTTTTTATTGCACAAAATGTGAACTACATAAGTATGTGCGGGTAGACAAGTCATTAGGTGTTAATTGTGTGTTGATACCTTAGAGACTGTTGGAGGAAGAGCTAAGATTTAAGTGTGGGGTGGTGATCTTGGGCATATTTATATGTCACGACCCAGGGGTACCCCCTAGATGTAACATGGCGTATAGAACCATGAAGGATTCCATACAAGCCACTTAGCATATCATAACATAAGCAATAGAGCAATAAGAGTAAAAATGCATTTCAAGACTAAAATTTACATAAAAGAAAAGCGTAAGTCTAGACTCTAAGTCTCAACATAGCCATCTATTACAATATTCGAAGAGAGAAAGTGACACAACCCATACAACATAATCCGAAAAGGAAATACAAGAAATGAACTACAATGAGATAACATCCGTCCTCGAATCATGAGGACTCAACAACAAGCTAGGAGAATAAGCAAATTCAAGCTTTATCCACAAGGATGATCACCTTGAGAATCGGACCCTACACTTGGGGAAAATTTATGAAAAGTAGGTGTTAGTACAAAAATGCTCTAAGTATGATAGCCATGCATAAAAACATTGAAAACATGCTAAAAGGGACTTTTTATTTAAAATAATGCAATTTACCAAGTTTAAACATCATCATGAAAATAGTGGAAAAGCATAAGTCATAAACATAATCAATACATAGATCATCATAACATAAGAGGAACATATCATAAATACCCTCAAAACATACTTGTGCAATGCATGAAAAAGACCCTATGAATCTCACCCATGCTAACTAAAGCTTCTTGAGTAACTATAGTTCATAATTGATATTCTTGTTCATATTGTTGTTGTGGGATGTAAGCCTTAACCGACATGAGACCATGTGAGCTAACCATGGAATCGGCGACTCCCACACCAAAAGGGTTGCTCTACTTTCCTAAGGTAGAACCATACTCTTATCTTAGGTGGATCCACTAGCTAAATACCTATTAGGGCACATAGTTTATGGGATAAGGAGATTTCTACTATAAACCCGGCTTCTACTATCGTGAGGGCTTCCATCCCAAGAGATTGCTCCTAGAAACCCGGCCTCAACTAACGTGAGGGCTTCCATCTCATATCAATATCCACTCAGTGCTAAGCATTAATTCCCACGGAGTACTTATTAAGACTTGACTTAATTCATATTCATGGAAGAATGTCTTGACACTCAATCCAACATAATTTATAGGATAGCTCTTAGATCATGCGTGAGAAAAACCTTTCATCGTCCATGTCTACATATAGATTCAATAGGTGAGAAAGCCTTTCAACCTTAGAATCATCATATTGTGAGAAAACCTTTCATATCATATCATATTCATGCATAAGTGTGTATATGAGAATAACCTTTCAGCAACACAACAACTACATCATAATCATAGACACTTCACTCTCAAAGTATTCTTAAAAACATAGACTTCATAATCATGCATAATATCATAATTTACCCTTTCAAGGATCAAAGCTCATATCAAATCAACACATCTAGAATTCACTACATTAGACATGGATATTAAAATAATTCAAGTAACCCAATTACTACAAGCATAATCTCATAATATCCTTCTTTCATCAACACACCCACATCACAAGATCATAATTTGGGCATATGTGGATTTCATGGGTTCTTGGATATTTCAAAATAAAAACCATAAGAAATCATCGATTCATACATAATATAATATAGTTCAATCATAAAAGTTGTTTTTCAAAGGAACCCATGACATTGGAATCAAACCCTAGCTTTTAGGGATTTCTATCTTTGAAATTGGGGTGTTGAAGGGGCTCCATGCATGAATTCTATCCATGGATGAAGACCTACCATACCTTAGAAATGAAAACCAATGAATTTGAGTAGAAAACCTTGCTCCTTGAACCCTAGCTCTAACTTCCTTCTTTTTCTTCCTTGAAGTTCTTGATAGGCAATTTCTTTGGTGAGGATGAAGTTTGGGGAATAGTTTTGGGTTTTAGAAATAATGAGGTGAATGACTTAATTTAGTGGTCTAAAATACTTATAAAGGGTGTATAAATTAGGCTAAAATGACACCACTTAATATTAATTAAAATCGGAAAACCCCAAAGTGCCCCTAAACTTAACCACCAAAAACAGTTTTCAGGCCCCATCCACGAGCCTCATTGATAGACCGTGGTTGGACCCACGGCCCGTGCTATTGAAGCGTGGGTTGGGGTTAGAGACTTGGTTTTAGGGCCTAGACCTACCGCCCCTCACCCATGGGCGTAGACTAACCCACGAGGCGTAGGTTCCTTCCGTTGGTCACTGTCCAGGCAGTTTTCTAGGGGTCTCCTCAAGGACCCATGGTGTGTCCTTGAGGGGTCGTACCTTGACGTTCTAACACGAAACCCTTTATTTTTATGTACGGGGAGTTACATCCAAGTCTCTAACCCTCACGTTAAGCTCTAGTTTAGCTTACTAATTTCTGGAGTGTTACAATATATGCCCAATTACTATGATTTACCTGCATGTAACTTATGTTTTGACGATATTATTGATGATAATTGATATGTTTTATGAGTATTGCGGTGATTTCCATTAACCTACATGATTAGAGATATGTAAGAGTTCCTAAAGGAGTACAATCACAATGGGAGCTACAAAAGACCTTACGGGAGCTAAGGGAAAATGAGCATGAAGAAAATGCATCACGGGGAAGCACTGGCGCGCCGCCCCAGCCTCAACATAATTGAGGTACATCACTGGCGCACTTGCAGCGCACCGTGTCAGTTGCTAGCGCGATGGTGGCGCCCTGCCCCCGATTTCCCGGACGAATATCCATATTTTTGAGGATTCCAAATTCAATTAGGAGAAAGGTTTAGTTCCCCGAAACTCTATAAATCGACGCTAGGTTATTTTGTAAAGGACTTCTTCTTTTTCTAGTGCAAGAGAATGGGATTACAAATCTTCTTAGGTTTCAATCTCCTACTGTTTCTTTAGTGTTCACTTACATGAAAACAATCTTGTTTATGTTTTTGATGATTATGAATGGCCAAAAACCTTTGGATGATTGTTGAACATCGATTTTTATAGATTAATTTGGATATCATATAAATTACTCTTGTATTCTTATTTTAGTACTTCATGATTGGCCACTATTGAGATAAATTCATTGTTTATTTTTGAACTCGAGGGACGAATAGGTAGATAGACCAGAGAATACAAGGAGCACGATTTGTCTTCCGTACCACTTGTTTAGATTCGTGTTTAGGATTGACACATAGAATAACATCGTGCTTGGTTAAGAGATAGTATGAAAAATAAATGTTCCACGGTTGAGTCTGCCCATCCCGCTCAATGATGTAGTTAGGAAATGAAATGAGGTAGGTGGTTAGAGGTCGAAAGATCATTATGATAATATCAACCCTATAAATCAGTAATTTCATAACCATAAGAAATCCATGAAAGAGATGTGATACATGAATCCTTAAATATGTTGTGAGCCCTTAAATTATCCCTTATTGTTTAATCACCGATATTGAAGTTGTTCATATTTTAAAGTTTTAATTATTTGCAATCGTAGTATAGATAGAAAATACAAGTTTTTTTCAAAACACCTTCTTTAATTTGAGGAATAAGTTGAACGAAACATAAATTGATCATAAGTTTTTTGGGTTTGACAATTCAACTCTGAAAGAATCATTTTATTACTCTTACGACCACATACACTTGCATGCGCAATTGGGAGCAACAAAATACATACTAAAAATTTGGTTGACTTCAAAATTTCACATGTGCTACATAAGTTTTGACTGAGTGAGTAACATATATTATTTAAAAATTATGTTAAAGTATTATAAATTACAATAATAAAGAATATCACATGTGCCACAAATATTATTTGAAAGTACGTTAAAAATATTATAAAAATAATTAACAACAAAAAATATTTCAAAATTTAGTTGATTCTCCTAATTTTATCTGTGTCACATAATTAAAATAAATAAAATAATACATATTGGGTTCAGGCTTACCCGAAATTTTGTATCTAGTAACTCTTCATAATAATGGATTATTGACTTATTAAATGGATAAATTTAATGTAATTTATAGTTTAAAAATATAGGTATGATCATTACTTTATGTAGAGATTTTTCTAAGAATAAAGGTTAAACTTTTCAAAAAATAAAGAAAAAATGATTATTAATCCTTGGATTTTGTGATGTCAAAATCTCAAGGTATTACACCAACTAAAGTACTAAAATGAATGTACATGAGAAATATGGGGTGTTGAGTTTGATTTTGTGAGCTGTAGCACATGACTTAGTATGCCATGAGACTAGTGTGAAAATAGACAAGTGTATATTATAAAAATAAAAAATATAATATTCACCACGAATATGATTGCCCACACGACTGCTACGACCAAGGAAGACCCTTTCTCAACATACCTCTCCTCTCTTTCCTCTTCATCTTCCACATTTATGAAAAAAAGCCAAAAATCATTCAAACACGTAGGAAAGGGGAAGACCTTTTTGCAAACATCATCTAATTTCTTGCAAAACTTCTTCTTTTTAATATTTTTGTTTTATGTAGATATTGATTTGTATGAACAAATCGATGAGAACATTGTGTCCAAATTTGGAGAAGAAAGATGGGTTGGAGACAGTGTTGGAGGTCCCAATACCAGAGGAGATGTTTGAGAAATTGAGTAGCAATGGCAATGCTGCATTACAATGGAAGAATATGCGTAATCTTATGAGGGCTCAAACTACAGAAAAATATTCTTCTCAACATGTCGCTCTTGATCAATTTATGTTTTTGTTTAAAATCGTTGGCTCTGCTCTTGTCCCTTTTCAGGTTCAATCGGACCCTACTGTTAAATTGCCTCTTAAGGTAATTAATTCAGTCTTTCTCTCTTATATATTTTAGGTCAACCATTATGCAAATTGTAATTGATTCTTCTTCTAAGCTTGTGTAAAATTATATTTACCATTGATAAATGATCCTTGTCAACTCCTAGCTCCAAAAAATATATAGATGATCATCACAAATGCTTAGATGAATTGTAATATGTTATGATCAGGAGGATTCTACTGCTAAATACATAGTACAACAATATGTAGCAGCATGTGGAGGGCAAGCCGCATTGAATTCAGTAAATAGCATGTGTGCAGTAGGCCAAGTGAAGATCTCTACATCAGACATGCATCAAAGTGGTATCAACGACAACTCAAAATGCCACTGTGAGGTTGGAGCTTTTGTCTTATGGCAAAAGAACCCTGACCAGTGGGTTTTAGAATTGGTTGTTTCAGGTTGCAAGGTAAGTGCAGGAAGTAATGGTAAGGTTGCTTGGAGTCAATCTTCCTCTAGCTCTAGTGCTTCAAAAGGTCCTCCAAGACCCCTTAGAAGATTTTTCCAGGTACCGGCCTCCCTTTATACATTTTGATGATCTTATATATTGTGATGATCCTATATATTTTGATATGTATGTTGATGAACAGGGTTTGGACCCCAGATCAACAGCGAATTTGTTCTCGAATGCTATTTGTTTTGGAGAGAAGACTATTAAGGACGAAGAATGTTTTATTCTAAAATTGGAATCTAGTATAGAGATGCTTAAGGCACAAAGTATGATTAATACTGAAGTTGTCCATCACACAATATGGGGCTACTTCAGCCAAAGAACAGGTCTTCTAGTTCAATTTGAGGATACAAAATTAGTAAGATTAAAGTCAACAAAGGGGGATAGCAATGTGTTCTGGGAGACAAGTATGGAATCTATTCTTGAAGATTATAGATATATTGAAGGTATCAACGTTGTTCATAGTGGAAAAACAGCAGCAACAATTTATAGATATGGAAAGAACATAGATTATAGAGCAAAAATTGAAGAGACTTGGTTCATTGAAGAGATCGATTTCAATATATTTGGTTTGTCAATGGAGTGTTTTTTGCCTCCTGCTGATGTAAACAAAGAAACTGAATTTGAAGACCAAGCGATCGCTTGCTAGCTCATCTCAACTTTTTTCTTGTAATATACCTAGGTAGGATCTTAACTTTTTTCTTTTTAATTTATGATCAGGTGTATACCTTAATTATCAATTCTTTCTTTCAAAAGTTTCACTTCTTCATCATGTTGTTTAATATTGCATTTAATCATAACACACTAGTAACTTTGAGGTTTACTTATTAGTTGTTGGAATTTCTCTTTTCAACTTCTTACTTTTATTAACTAAAAAAGAATCAATCATTGTTTTATTTCCATATCTCCTCCTAATATGCTTCTTAAATCACCTAAACAAAAACACATCACAAAATGGAATCCTAGTTCTTTTGAAAGAGTTAGTTTTAAATAATAACTGAAACACGTGTGGGCATATGCATCGAATCATACTCCAAACCATATCCAGAATGAAGTAGGTGGTCACATATGAATGTACAAAACCAAGGTCGAATAACACAAGATACGCGTTCCATAGTTCCCATATCAAACATTTCCATTCATCTGAATCCATATCTTTGATTTTTAGTTACCCACAACCAATCGGTCTGGTCCACATTACAATCGTAGATATACTAGATTTATCAAACCCTCACATACTTCTCACAGTACTCCACTGAAGTCAACACTCTTAACACTAATAAAACATCATAACCACACTGGCCATTTTATTTAATATCAAGTCATCACTAGTATCAAGGTTTTTTTAGCAAACACATTGTTACCTCCAAAAATTTTGAACTAAGACTATATCTCCTTTCATTTTAGCACGCCAGGACAGATACGGGTCCCATCCAATGCTGATAACACAAATTCCCAATCTCATAGTTCTCTCCCATTGAGATAAAGCTATTTAATCACGTCCAATATCAACTGCACGCAACCTTTCACCTACCAAGTTTCAACTGCCATTCAAACCATCATATATGTAATGCCAAATTTTAGAGAAATTCTTGGTCACCCCAATAATTTTGTATACTATGAGCACATAACATCTATTTACCATTTAGTGTATATGTAACACATCACATCAATCTGTATAGTCCCATCAACATAGTAGTATTAATCCAACTCGAAATTCTTAATAATCATGTAGAACTGTATCCCATCCTATAGTGCATCCATAAGTCACATACCATAATTTGAGGAATCTAACCCCACATAAAATACAGAATCTTCCATACCTCACTAATTGTCACTCAAACCAAAACCAAACCTTCATAAAAGTCGTTGATAGATCCCTCATATAGTTTTGCTAACTCATTTACCAATCTTATCATTGACTAACAACCCATGAAATTTTACCTCACTCTAAACCAAAACCTTAAGTGGATCACTTTTTTAGGCCCTTTAACAATCAAACGTAACAAACTCTATGACCCTAGCACTACAACATTCCTTTCAATTGCTCAATACCCAACGCGATCGATCATTTCTCACCTTACCAATCTATAATTTGAAAAAACCTATTTCCACAATGTAAACTTACAATGAACAATTTGAATTTTATATTCCAACCATGTAACCCAATTCCTTTATCAATCAATATCAGCTCATACACAGACAATTTTATAAAATTACATACATTAGCTTATCCTTAATGGTCTCTCCATCTACCTTATTGTATCTGTCATTAGAATTTAAATTGTTCTGGCTAAACAACTCGAAACCATAAGAGAACTTATCACTTCCCTTGAACCGAATGTATGTAGAGTTCTTTCTCAAATCTTACCCAACAACTTTTTAACCAATGTGTTGAACAAGTGACAATATTAATATAACTAGAGCAAAACAGATACATCCCACTAATTCTTTCTATTTATCACTCTACCTTCTTTCAATTCTATTTGAGTGGTGTCTCAACACATCATACAAATTTCCATACTACCATGCTACTCATCAAATAGTAGCAAACCAAAATTTTAGATACCCATATGTCGTTATCGTTATTGCCATACCAAATCCATTTAACCAACAATGCTTACCATATGGTTGCATCCTAGTCATTATACGTCACGAAATCTTATTACTGTTATGCTCAGTAGCAATTTCTATCATCTCAATGTCAACCTTATTATAGACATAACACCTTAATCCTAGTTATACCAACCAAACCCAAAGGACTAATCCAATTTTATATGCACTTACTTACTAAAATCCTCAAATACCTTCACACAAGTATACTGACTTGACTTCCTTTACCCATAAGCTTTTCATTTAATATCGGTCCACTCCCTTGGAGATTACGATGAAATCACCAGTTCTCATTTAGAATCCCCAGGATACTCTGCACAACCTAAACACATTAATAATGTACTAAAGATCCCCCACTATAATTTTTGTTATACACAATGCATAACTCAAGGGTCCATAGTAACAACCCAGCTGGTTTCTCAAACGCAAATGCAACATCAAATAAAATTATACTAGCAAATGATACAACTGATAATAACTCCTTAAGTAGTTAGTATTCACACTTGACAATTGATGTATCCATTTCAATATACCACTAGTACCACACCATGAAAGCCTATTAGATCCACCACTAGAACACATTATACCTACTGAGAAGATCGTACCCAAATCGCCCGCACATTTCTACCCATGGAATAGCTGCAAAACAGTACCATGTCAGTTTGTCTCTAGCCCAAGTTATATGCATTATTTCATAGATCAGGTGGATAACAGAACTAACACAGTCCATAACTCTAACAAAGTAAGTATCAGTACCATTGTACTAATCATATCATGACCCTCTTTTAAACACATTCAATCTATGAAACTGTAGTAGAGGTTCTTACCTCAAGTGGTGCAACATCATTCTCATCATTCGCTAAGCAACCCATATATTTTATGAAACTTTACTATGTAGATTCCAAAGTTATAGTGTTCATTATCTAGTTGTCTCTTTAATCATTCCACTTCCAATTGTCAAACTACTCCAAATATCGCCTCTACCATAAAAGTCATGTTCGCTCTGCTAGGTAACTAACCTTACTAAACTTCTTCAGATCGCTGAAAATTCTGAATCTTACCACACATCATTTTCATAAGTTTATCACTTGCACATTAGTATCAGATCTAACATCCAATCCATACACGAAACACCAACTACTCACATTAAGAACAACGCACAAGTCATCACTATAAGTGAAGAGAATATAATGAAGCGATAAGAATCAGACTAGACCATGAATGCACGATAGAGATTCAAGAATTGAAGATTTTTCCTAAAAATCCACCATAGCCTTTCGAAGATAACCAATTGGCGTCTCTACACTAATTCTTGATACTCTACTAGACTTGTCTTGTACACCTATGTTACCTATGAACCTGGGGTCTGATACCATTTTTCAAGACCCAAAAATGACTGTGATGGCACTCATCTTGTGCCACCAAGAAAAGTTAACCTAAAACTCCAAACATAACGATAAAATGTAGAAGTAAAAAATATATGAAAGTTTAACGACTAATAAAACGTGAATAAAAAGTCAAATTAACTAAATCCCCGAAACCTATTTTTCACGTGAACAAGCCTCTAATGTAAATAATTACTCGAAAAACAATTAAATGAGTAGGTAATCATTAGCAATATAATAACTAAACATATGAGGTCTGGGTCGAATCGCGCAGGAACAATGTGTCAGAAATTGAAAATATAAAAAGTTACAAGGTACTAGTTTTAATCCAAACAAAAATACAAAATTATAAAATCAAAAGTTGGTAACAATCAACAATAAGGGAAAATGGCCATGGGAAAAAATCTTTTCAAGCAAGGGATCAAAGGGATTTAGGGAATGGGAAGCTAATTGACATTCAAATGATCCATTGCAACTTAATCTCATGCTAATTGATTCATAGGTAAAATAATACATGCATCAGAACCTCAATGATTCACATACTTCTCTCAAATGTAAGCAAATATTTCTCACCTAACTCTCTCAAGACTAGCTACGTCGCCATCACAATTAATCCAATTTTACACATTGCAAGAATCCACTATCTCTAGATAGAATCTAAATGGGTTGTTACACCTTAAATAAAACATAAATCAATAATTCACAACCTCAATTGATTCATTAAATCGCAATTAAAGTAAATGGACAAGTTCAAGGAGTGATCAATTCCATAGGAAAGCACTTTAGGCATAAAATAGATTAATTAAATAGCCACTTCATAAATGAGAAGCATTCAATCAATTACAAAAGCAATAGAATGAAATAAAAAAAGCCCAATCAAGTGTCTATTTCTAACACAAACTCCGAATTCTCTAATGATCAATTATACCCATAATTCAAGAAACACAAAACAAGGTAATGAAGAAGAGTGAAAAACTACTACAATGGAACTTTCAATCTTCAAACCCAAAGTTGAATTGTGATTAAACTTGCTATTCAAGCCTAAAAACCCAAGCTAAGAACTCTCCAAATATTAATACAATGGATAATTATTCAATAATTCAATGTTAATTCTCAAAATGATTTTCCATGAGTAAAAATGGGATTTTGGGGTGAAAATTGTGAATATCCAGTTCTGCCCAGCCGCCTGACATTTGTTCTTTGCGTTCACGACAGCAAACCCACGTGATCATGTTTTGTAACAATTTTGAATTGACCGCGATCGCGATCGCAAGGTCTCCAAGTTTAATTGACCGCGATCACAACCCTTTGACCACCCAATTGCAAAGGGCTAAGTCTAACCATTCCTAAGTTTCAGCTTTTTTCCTCTTTTTGCCTTGATTTCTTCAAATATCTCCTAAACGAACTCTTCACTTCATTCTCCTGTAAATATGAGCAAAATCATATAAAAAGAACCAATTCTCATCTAAACAAGCTAAACATATAAGCTTAAAGACCAGAAAAGTTGGTAAAATACCCACTTATCAACACCCCTAAACTTAAATCATTGCTTGTCCTCAAGCAAGTTAGACGCAGATCATTAAGAACTTATTCAATCCAAGCACACCAATTATCCCTTAAGAAATAATAACATGAATTCAGTTGGTACTAA